TCTCACCCCGACACAATTTCTCATCTCGACACGATTTCTCACCCGGCACGATTTCTCACCCCTACACAATTTCTCACCCCGACACGATTTCTCATTCCGACACAATTTCTCACCCCGACAACATTTCTCACCCCGACAAAATTTCTCACCCCGACACAATTTCTCCACCCGACACGATTTCTCACCCCGACACGATTTCTCACCCCAACTCTATATCTCAATAAGGGTATTGTCTGATTATGAGAAGTTCTTTTTTTACACAACCAATACAATGTGACGTTTCGACGACTAGTACGATATGTACACTGTCAGCTTCATCAGACAAATGACCAATAAAGCGTATGCACACAAAGGTGTAAAATGTGTACGAGTTGTCCATAAAATCGATGTGGATTTCAGCTACGCTGGAAACGTATGTACAATAGTTGTTATATATGTACCAAAATGACTCAATTCAGCTACGCTTTGTAAACACTTGGTCATAGAAGTGCGAGAGTCTTTAAGCCCCCTCGTCTCGATTTAGAACTGGCCCACTGCGGCGTATCTAGATGGCTTCCTTTATCTGCTGCTTGAACAGATTGCCCTCTCTGTCCAAAACTTTGGAGTTATCCCAGTCAATCACATTGTTTTTCTGTGTGGCATGGTCTGTGATTGCCAAAGGTCAAGTGGTCATCCCGTATATAAAGGGTACATCCGAAACCAACCGGAGGATATATCGCGGTCATGGCATAGCAACAGCCATGAAGCCCCACAAGACGCTTCGCAATACCCTAGTACACCCTAATGATAAAACACCTAAAGAAAACGTCACAGAATGCGTATACAAAATCGGATGCAAAAACTGCGACGCGTCGTATATTGGAGAGACTGCAAGACGATTTGGGGTCCACTTTGGTGAACACCGGAAAGACACAGAAATCCAAAAAGGTAGGAAATTCACCAGATCTGAAAGAAAACAGTCAGAGTCCCAGATAAATACATCGGCGAGCACAGACCATGCCACACAGAAAAACAATGTGATTGACTGGGACAACTCCATAGTTTTGGACAGAGAGAGCAATCTATTCAAGTGGCAGATAAAGGAAGCCATCTGGATACGCCGCAGTGGGCCAGTTCTAAATCGAGACGAGGGGCCTCGAAGACTCTCGCACATCTATGACCAAGTGTTTACAAAGCGTAGCTGAATTGAGTCATTTCGGTACATATATAACAACTACTGTATATACGTTTCCAATGTAGCCGAAATCGACATCGATTTTACGGACAACTCGTACACATTTTACATCTTTGTGTACACACGCTTCATTGGTCATTTGTCTGATGAAGGTGACAGTGTACATATTGTACAGGTCATCAAAACGTCACATAGAAAATTGTATTGGTTGTGTTAAAAAGAACTTCTCATAATCCATACTTACCAACCTAAAGAAAATGTTTAGAAAATGGATTGTCTGATTGACCTCGCAATCAAAGTCCTGTAAGCTTGATCCACTGCCTACAGACCTATTAAAGCATGTCTTGAAGCACTGCTTCCTTTGATTACCTCAAGCATGAACACATCATTGGCTGGGTCAAAGGTTCCATTATGTTTCAAGAAGCCACATGTCAGACCATTGTTAAAGAAGCCTGGAATGGACGAGGAGGAGTTGAAAAACTACCGCCCAGTTTCAAATTTGCCTTTTCTGTCTAAGATCTTGGAGAAGGTTGTGTCCCGGCGTTTAGAGGTTCATCTCCATGCAAACAGTCTCCATGACAACATGCAATCGGTCTACCGCATGGGACACTACTGAGACGGCCCTCCTACGTGTACATAGTGATATAGCTTCTGCATTGGATAACAAGTGCAGAGCGGTGCTTGTCATGCTGGACTTGTCAGCTGCATTTTTACGTCATCGACCATGGCATACTTTATAAACGTCTGGAATACTCTTATGGAGTGACTGATACCGCACTATGCTGGATACAGTCTTACCTGAGTGAACGACGACAGTGTGTTGCCATCGGATCTTCCACCTCACATGACAAATTACTAGATTTCGGGGTTCCTCAAGGGTCGGTGTTAGGACCACGAAAATATTGTATGTACTCCAAACCGATTGGAGAGATTTGTCGTCGCCATAGCCTTCGCTATCATTGCTATGCTGATGACACACACATTTACATGGTCATAAAACCACAGGACAGTTGGAATACAGTCTCAGAAAGTCTGGAAGCTTGTCTGACAGATATCAGTATCTGGATGAACGCCAACATGCTTAAACTTAATCAGGAAAAGACGGAACTAATCGTCTTTTCCCCAAAGTGTCAGCAAACAATGGCTCTCCAGCTCAAGGTTGGTGCCAGAACTATTGAGACTGTTCCAGCTGTTAAAAACCTAGGGGTATACTTTGACAGTTCTCTGAACATGGAGAAACAAGTGAACGCGATTGCCAAATCCTGTTACTACCAGATCAGGAACATCGGCTGTATTCGGCAGTTTCTAACTGCAGATGCATGCAAGATTTTGGTGCATTCACTTGTTACCTCTCGGTTGGATTATGGTAACGCCCTGCTCTGTGGTATATCTGACAAACTAACTAGTCGTCTGCAGAGGGTCCAGAACACTGCAGCACGGCTAGTTACTCGTACTCGAAAGAGAGAGCACATCACACCTGCGCTTTATTCGTTGCACTGGTTACCTGTACGATACAGGTCGCAGTACAAAATTCTGGTATACACATACAAGGCACTGAATGGAACAGCTCCTCAGTACCTACAGGAGCTTGTTACCCTGTATCAGCCGTCACGATCACTGCAGTCGGAGTCAGAATCTTTGTTGTGTGTCCCAAAATCTCGTACTGTGACCTACGGAAACAGATGCTTTGGAAGGGTTTCGGCTACGTTGTGGAATAGCTTACCATCTGCAATTAGAAAGTCCAATACCCTGGCAAAGTTCAAGAGGGACATCAAAACTCACCTCTTCACGTCTGCATTTTAGAATATTTGGAAAGACGTTATGTAAAAACCATCCTTTTATTTGTTCAATTATGTGCACATTGCTTGTTAAATGTATGAAAGTGATTGCAAGCCTTTGTTATTTTTTCGTTTTCACAATTATAACCATTACTATTATCCATATGTTGTAAAGTGCTTTAGAGTAATTTTACAATATTATATAGGGCGCTATATAAATTTTGTATATTATTATATTATTATCATTATCATTATTTTACAACAATAAAATAGCTAGTTCAAGTTCTTTATTAACTTTAAGTCTTACGACTTATCAGTGTAAACATATAATAAACAGGATATTTACATATGTACAAAAAGTCCCATTGGTGCTTATTTGCCTCTATCAGATACTTTCCAAGATTACATAATTCTTTAATATTCTGTGTATTAAGAAGTAATTGAACAAGTGTACATACACTAGGGATATTTCTATATTTACATTTTAAATACATCCGTCTTAAATCAGTATATCTTGTGCAAACTATAACAAAAATAAACTCGTCTTCTATGTCATTAAGATAACACTTTGTACATAATCTATTAGTTCTAACAGTGCCAACATAACGCCCAGATTCAATGTTTAATTTGTGAGCTGACAGCCTAAGTCAAGCAATGTATTTCCTATAACCGATATTAACTGATTTTGTAAGATACGATTGTAGTCAAACTGTATTGTTTAATTTTTTGTAAAGCTTTAAGACATACGTGTAATTAAACTGTATCCCTGTTGATTAAAAATTTCAAATAATCTTAATAATTAAGAAAGTGAAATTGTTTCCATTCCGAGCGTCCCAGATATATCCTAATCGATACAATTCATCTTTTGTTTCACAGACCCATGTATCCTTGATTAGCAGCATATTTTCATAACAGAATTTCAAAAGACAGTTTTCGGTATTGAGCAATTTAAACCAACATTTAAATATTTTAAGTGTCCTTGTTACATGCAATGGATAACGGCCTAATTCGAAATATACCATCATATTCGGAGTTGATTTGCGCACACCTGGCACTCTTTTACAAAAATCCACATGTAGATTTTTGATGTCGGGGCCTTTATGGAATCCCCATACTTCTGATCCGTAGTTGACTATACTACTGACATAAGTATCAAACACTGCTAATTGAGTCTCAATATTAAAAAACTGTTTTTTACATACACCCAATAATGCAAACAATGCTCTTCTTCCTTGTTCAAATATTTTTTTCTGTGTTTGTTTAAATTTTCCATTATAATTCAATAAGATTCCAAGATAGTTGAGTTCATTCACTATCTCTAACACACACCCATCGTATTCCCATTTTTCATTATCTTTTAATCTTCCCCCATTTCTAAAAACAACAATCTTGGTATTTGAAGTATTCACAGTAAGGTCCCACTTAATAGTGTAATTTAACAAAGAGTCTAGCATCTTTTGCAAACCTTGAGGTGTTTTGGCAAAGATGACAAAATTTCTCCTTGAAAACGTCCGATCTTACAATCGAAAAAATCAGAGCATACTCCGTTGTTTTTTACACAGCATCTTACATTTTTATAAAGTGATCTGATAACATTTAACATTTTACCTGCAATACATTCTTTGATCAACTTGTACCATAAATTCTGTGTATTGGTCAGGTCAAAAGCTTTGGTATAGTCAATGAAACAGCAGTATAGACGGTTTTTTACTTTTTACCGTTCGATTAATAAGGGCCTGTAAAAATCCGCTTGAATCCAAACTGAGCATCGGTTATCTTATTTTACTCGATGTCAAATTTCACCAACCTATTATTCAAGACGTAACAAGTTTACTGACAATTGAAATACCCCTTGTCAATGCTACTTGGGTCACCTTTCTTAAATACTGGAGCTATATATTTCCAACTGTTCGCATACGAGGATAATTACCTGATTTTAAAATGTTGTTGAAAAGTACAAGACAAGGTACAAAAACTTCTGAACAATGAGTAACATATTCATTCAGCATACCATCGATACCACACGCCTTATTGGATTTAAGGTTTTGAATAGCACCCTCTTTTTCATAACCTGTAATATCAGCACCAAGTTCATCAAACCCTGGAGCGTGAATGAGTATGTCATCATAATGTTTCATATACTTATTAATACCTTCATCAGTTTTTAGTCCAGAGGATGCAAGGTTACAGAAGTGTTTTTGAAATTCTTCGAAAGATATCTTCTGAGAGTCAGTTAACTTCTTCCTTTTTCTGAAGTCCTTGTAAAACCGTTTTGAGTTATATTTTCTCAGATATTCTAACATATTTCCCTGATGAAGCTGTTTCTCTACTTATTGAAATCAACTTTTTCTTTGTTAAAAAATTCCAATTCATTCATCAGTTACTTACGTAGAATTGTTTGCTAAAGGAATTACGATTGCATCCATAGTGAGGCATTAACTCCTTACTGATTACACACGCATTCAGTGAGGTACAAAAAAACGCGATAAATACCAACATATTTGCTGCGCCCGTGTAGAACAAACATACAACATCCAGCATCCGCACCAAAGTATTACGTCACAAAAACGGGAGTGACGCCATTGTGACCTCATACGGGATACTTTTACTCTAAAATTCCTGCTTTTTTAACCTATGGAAAATGCTTCTTTGTGTCGAATGTACCTGTGTTCTGTAAATCAAAGTTGTAGACAATTTGTTTTGTTATATTTAGAAATATGCAAAAAAATAAGTCGTGTCTTACACGGTCAATTTCTAATCTTGCAAACCTTAAGATGCTGTGAAAAAACTATAAAAACGATTCAACTATTTCCTTAACAATTTTATATCAAATAAATACATGCGGTTTCGTCATCTTTTGCTTCGAACACACAGAGCTGAGTCATTGATGTCTTTATTAGATATCCCTCTCTGCGTTTTCCTTAAAAGTGATTGACGTAACGCCATCATTCACTACGTAATGAATATTTTTCTTACAAATATGTGAAATTGAATAAATTTCATACATGTTATTATTAAAGCCATTGACATCAAATTAAACTCAATGCTGTGGGATGTGTTCAAATTGAAAGTAACGATATTATGCATATTTTCATCTCTCCATTAAGAAAATATCGCCTTTTCCCGCTAAAACCAGTTATGTCGTTCACTTAGCTTAGGTAAAATTATTGAAAAACTGAATCATTAAATAAAAGCCACATCCTTCAAACAAAATATGTTGGAAATTTGAGAACGGATAATTAGAAAATGTGCATAAAATGAAACCCTAAAATATTACTAATGCATATGGATGTTTTAGCTGTTATTGCGTATAAAATGCAACCATAAACATTCACGAAAAACGTTTCATTTAGTTCATAAACAAAACAAGGTAATGACGTTCGAATTAACGTTTTCGACGCAAAACAGCGTAGCGTTACATGACGGCTAGACCTTGGGAAATCAATGCTGTGCAGCGGTGTTAGGACACGCAATATAGCTAAGTTATTCTTAAAAAAGTTGAGTCAGAGAACTTGCCAATGCATTTAAGAAAACAGATGTGTCATTTCATTCGAAAGTCACAAACATGGTCATGGTATTTTTTCTTAAAAAGCCGCATTTTACGGACCTAAAGTTCCCTAATACTGTTGCTCCAATTTCTATCAACTTTTGCAGATCGTTTAGATAGATTAAGAAATTACACCAAACCAAATACAAGCAAGTGACACAGCATATTCATCTAGAAAACATATTGCGAATGAACGGTCATTTTGAGGAGAAAAAACACATTACACAAATGATATCCTGTATTTTTTGCGACTTTCAAAAACAATATCGACTTTCAAGTATCATATAATTCAAGATAACATTGTTATATAGCTTTAAAATTCAAACATCTGCAGAATGGCCCCATATTTTACTTTCAAATACTTATTAATTTAAACGCTCAGCCCGTTTACGTTACACGTTACCTTGGAATAATGGCGAATTTTGAAGTTATATCGGCGGTTATTACGTTGCACTTGAAACTTCTCTATATTTTCATGAAATATTCAGATTGTTAATTTTTTTCTGAACAAAATGGTATATAATAACATTATTTCTTATCCTTATTCAGATTTCATTAAATGCTGATGTAGCGAAATCCACGATTTTCCGTTTGTTCGTCAACATCTGACTTTACGTCACAGCATTAACGCCTACGAAGTATCTGGATGTACACCAGTTTAATGCAGAACCATTACGTACAGCATTTCGCCTAAACGAAGTCTTATTGTGACTTGGTAGTTTAGTTTAAACATATTTTATTGACAACATATTGACAAAGGGATTAGTCGGTAAGTTTTTCCAACTTATCAATTGACTTCTCCCGTAATACAGACAAATATATTAATACACAATTGTCACATGATGGTGAGAAAATAAATATGTTATTAATGAAAACGATTCATTGAGAGAGAGAGAGAGAGAGAGAGAGAGAGAGAGAGAGGGGGGGTACGGTAAAAGAAGAACCAGGAGACAGTACTGGGGTTGGAGGTTGGATAGAGAGGAGTGGGGTTGGTAGTTAGTCAAATCTACCCGATCTTCCCAGGAAATGCTGTGCAGCCTTGGCTAGTTTCATATTACCATTTGGTGAGATGTTGGGGTCACCTTTACAAAGAATATCTACGTGTATGTCGCCTTCGTACCATTCTAATTCGGTAATGAGTGTTCTTCGTAAATTAGAATAAAAAGGACAAATAAGGAAAAAATGATAACAATCTTCACAGGGATGCCCACACCCGCAATCAGCTGAACCGACTAGATTTGCTCTGAAAAGATCATAATTTAATGAGCTAGCTCGATTTCTAAGTGGACAAAGGAGTATATTTAATTTTATCGGTCCTTAGTTTACGAAATGCTTGCTAAACAAATTATTTACTATCATAAACTTTTTTACATTAGACTTAAAAGAATTAGTGAGGGTGAGTTTCTTACAGTGTTGTTCAAATTGTTCCAGAATTTTAATGTGGAAGGAAAGAAAGAATTTTTTGATAGTTGTAAACGGAAGCGCTGTTCCCGCAGTAAATGTGCATTTCGCAAATTATTTTTCGAAATATTTCCAATAAACATTGGTAATAAACAGTAAGAAATTTAGGTGCCATGGTATTTACTTTAGAATAAAACAAGGAAAGTTTCCGAGCATCTCTTCTTTTCGAAAGGGGTAACCATCCGGTTTCTTGATATAAGAAATCTGTTTTAGTGAATGTGGGCAGCCCTGTGACTATTCTTGCAGCTTCTAGAGGGATTGTTTCTAGTAACAGGGCATTTGTTTCACCGCAGTATTCCAGTAGTGGTCGAACATAAGTAAGATATAGTTTTTCTAATGTATTTCTTTTTAAAATAAGTTTTAGTTTACGAAGGGTTGCTATATATTTGGTTACTTTACTGACAATATATTCAACAGAAACATTCCATTTACAGTCGTTAGTAAGAATAACACCAAAGTGCTTATGTTGGTTAGTTATTTGAATGGGGGTATTATTAAATGTGAATGCAGGGATGAATGGAAGTTGCCGGTTTGAGATGACTAGGGCCTCAGTTTTGATAGGGTTAAAAGACATCAGCCATTCTTTGGACCAAACCTCAAGTTTTCTCAGATCAGATTGTGCATTGGATGAAATTGTGTTTCAGTCTTGGGACGAATAAGAAAGAGTGGTATCATCAGCAAAAAGTCTAGAGAGAAAGATCACAGGAAATATCATTTATGTATATAAGGAAGAAAAGAGGACCAAGAACAGAACCTTGAGGAACACCAGCTTTTATGGCCTTAAAGGAAGAAAGAGAATCATTGATAAAAACCGCCTGTTGCCTGTTTGAAAGATAACTAGTTATCCACTGAAGAAGAGGGTCAGAAATGCCATAATTATCTTATTTATGTATTAGACCTCTGTGCCAGATGCGGTCAAAGGCTTTTGAAAAATCACAAAATATTAATAGAGAATGTTCGTAATTGTCTAAAGAAGTCTATTGAATGATATAGCTCAATAAGTTGATGTGTCGTGGAATGGTTAGGTAAAAATCCTGACTGATATTTATAAAAAAGGTCATTTTCAATCAAAAAGTTATATACATGTTTATAAACCAAACGCTCAAACAGTTTTCCAATACAGCTTATCAATGAAATCGGTCTGTAATTGGAGGTAATACTTGCATCATTCGCTTTATAGATAGGCATGACATGAACGAAGACAGAGAATAATTAAAAATAATGGAAAGCGGTACAGAATCTCGCTAGATAATAATTTGAGCATTTTATGGCTAATACCGTCAGACCTGGACCCAGTTTTATTAAAGGTCGTAAGTCCACACGTAAACTGATGCCTTATTTACATGTAGAATTTTTATAATATCTTCAACTTCACTGGGAATTATATTTCTTTCGGATAAGATGGAGTCAGTCTTCCTCTCAAAAAAAGGCAATTCTTTGCCTGTATCAATTTCTGATAACGAGCACACAGAACTAAAGTAGTTATTTAAGAGTTCACATTTTCTATCGTTGTCATAAATTATTTTATTTGTAGTACCGTCTAATAACGGGGATATTTCGAAGTTATTTTTAGCTTTAAGAATATTTCGGAGAAGTTTCCAATAAATCTTAGGATTGTTGTTACTTCATAAAATATTTCTTTAGCTCTCTTAAACATATTATTTACTTTATTTCTCATGTATTTGTACTTGTTTTTGTTGCACTCACTGTTATTGTTAAACATTATTTTTTTAAGTCTATCTCTTTTCCTAATATTACGCCTTAACAATCCATTCATCCACGGTTTATCGCTATCGCGTACTAATACTACTTTTGATGGTATACATTTGACAATGGCATCAACAAATTTCTCGATAAAGAAATTGCACATTTCATTAACATTTCATAAGCTGGCAAGATTGGCCAACCAAGGGATACTACATTGTATTTATCGTATCTTTAAGTTTGTTGACATCAGCTTGGTCGTATAACCATACCTTTCTTTTAAAATCATGATCGCTAATATTTCGCTCAATTTCAATAACATCAGAAAAACACACATTAACAGTATCACTAACAATAATAGGGTCAAGAAGTATTGAGGAGGTATCGGTTTGTCTAATTG